AACATTCGACTAGGCCTTTTCTGCCACAACACCATAGTTATAGTTAGCCTTACTCTCTGGCTTTCTACATCGGTGATGTTTTACCTGTTTATAACTGAGAATTCTGTGTAGAATTTGAATGCATCTCATTAAAACTCATAGCAACCTTGGCAGAGTTTGGGGTTGGACTAGATCTCTTACTTCCAGTGAAGGGAAATCTTAATGCTTCAGCCTACCAAGACATTTTGGACAATGCTATGCTTCCAACTTTTTGGGAACAGTTTGTGGAATGTCTGTTTTTATTCCAGCATGACTGTGCCCCAGTGCACAAAGCAAAGCTCATAAAGACATGATTGGATGAGTTTGGTGTGGAGGAACTTGACTGGCCCACACAGATGCCTGCCCTCAATCCTATCAAACACCTTTGGGATGAACTGGATTGGAGATTGTGACCCAGGCCAGTGCCATCAGTGCCTGACCTCACAAATGCTCTACTGGATGAATGGACAAAAATTCCCACAGAAACACTCCAAAATCTTGTGCAAAGCCTTCCCAGAAGAATTGAAGCTGTTATAGCTGCAAATGGGGAACCAACTCCATATTAATGTCAGTGTATTTAGAATGCAATGTCATTGAAGTCCCTGTTGGTGTAATGTTCAGGTGTCCAAATACTTCTGTCTGTACAGTGTACTTCTGGAGCCATGACAGTGGAAAACGGTTGCAACTTGCTGAAAAATGTATTTAGTAAGAATATACAACTACTTTTGATTGACCATCAATGGACAAGAACTGACCACTTAGACAGGAAGAGGTTGTTGTACTGACATGTACACAATTTTTTTACCTAATAAAATATTAATACCTTGTTCATAAAAAAAAAAACCTTTGCATCACAGGAATAAATACATTTTAAAATACATTATGATAGAAAACAGTTATTTTGAATTTGAATAATATTTCACAATATTTCTGTTTTTACTTTACTTTTGATTAAATAAATGCAATCTTGATGAACACAAGATCAAATATATATA